CACCGGGTGATGGTGTAGAATAACCTTGATCTTGTAATTGAACACTATCATTGTACCATACTAGTTGTGGATATGGATTACCATCTATGGCAGTACATCTCATCGTTATTACGTCTCCAGTTGTCAAGCTCTGATTTCCGGGAAGTATTTCACAAGTTGGCCAAATTGTATCAGGTTCATCTAAGAATTAAAGCATTAAACACAACATGACGAGTGTGTTATTGTTATTAAGTATGTATTTATGTACGTATCTGGACTCGCTGATGCATTAAGGAACACTTTAGCTAGACATAAAGCAACACTACTTTTTAGCTATTGTTGTAACTATATGTGTTATCGAACATATTATAATTTTTTACATTGTCATGTTTGCTCAGGTGCAGTCAATGAAGCTGTCGATCGAAAAACCTTTTTCAAGAAGATTTTTCAAAGCAGGAAAACATTTTCTTGGGACAGGGGAAAATTGTGTAATTTTTTAAAAACTGTTTTGAAGGTGGGGAACGTTGGTGAACTTGAAGATGAACATTAATTGTGAAGGGAGGGACAAGTTTCTGCATGTAATATAAATTCTTTACCCTCTGAGTAGGTTATTGGTCAACTTTTAATTCCCCCTCTTTAGTCCAGATTAATCATTCTAACTTTCTAGATCTGTAAAATGCATTTCGACATAAAAGAATATCATAACACTTGTATGATGTACCAGTTTGCTGAACAGATTTATTAGCAGTGCCTGATTAAATAAAGCCCCTCCACGCAATCAGGACGTTTTATTACATGAACATTGCTTAATTCAGTGTTCTGCCAAGTCACCATATGCAATGGCTGAGTGACTCGACATGGTCCATAGTCTTTATCGCGCTTCAAAATATCGATAGATAAAATATTTATATGAGATGACTGGTACAACATGGCTGTTTCGCAGAATCTAACAGGATCTAGTTTTAGCTGTGTGCCGAAACCTAACTAACGATAATTGATTTGTCAATCAGTAAAAAAAAATGTTCAACATTCAACTCAAACAGATACCATGTTGGTTTTTGGTAGGTAGGCATGTGGTTATGTGATATAGGTGTATCTGTGATCACAATAACTTAATAACAGCTACAATGCTTACTTTTAATGGCTTTTATTAAAGATCTAGAACGAACACATTAACCATTTGTTACCCGTTGCGAACTGACGCTATCAGGTATATTTTCGTAATGGTTCACAGAAAAGAATACCTTTCAAAGAGTATTTTCTTTCAAAGAAGACACGGGTAGTAAGTTTTGATGTAAACAATTCTAAATATATTTACATACATAGTACACTGAGAAATCTGTTATCACTCCTATAGGAACCAGCAATATTGGTGACCATACAGGAATACAACCCCGCATCACTTCTCAAAACACGAGATATGTCTATGTGTGGATTTGATGAATACATTCTCGTTCCATTACAGTACCATGTGTACGACACGCCATACGTACTGGACGTGATGCATGTCATGGTGACATTGGAAAACTCGGGTACTAAAGATGTAAACCATATTATTGCATTCGTTGGAGGTTCTGTGTGGTAATAAGTGAGGTTTAGTTAGTCAATAAACCCATGCTGGAACTTTATTAACACACTAAATGTTTAAGTTAATATGTTACATTGGCGTCTTTCAAAGCAGTATAACTTACAAGTACATCAGATGTACCTACCGAGCACGTTCAACACAACTCTGTCATAGATGGAGTAATACCGGTAATCATATGTATAGCACCAGTATACACCGTTATCTTCAATTATCGTATTGTTTATTTCTATAGAAACGACATCTAAATATCGGTGTCTATCATATCCCGGATACAAATACTTATATCCCCACCAGTATTTAAAGGCAACGGTAGCATTGTGACCTGCGGGTACTTCCATATACCAAACATTGTACCAGTGAGTTATGTTTGGTGTAGTACATGGTAGAACGGCAGTATCACCCACTGCGACATCAACATCGGCTAAGCTAGACTCTGTAAATAGAAACATTCATAAATAGTTGGTTATCTCTTTGTAGCCTAAAGAAAGTTGTATAGATGACTGAAATGCAATAGGTTGTCTTCAGAAAAAATGAAATATTGTATTTGCTGCATGCATTGTGCACCATTTCAAGACAAATTATCAATACATAATCAAAGCCTTAACGAAGTGTTAAAGATTCTTTCCCAAAAATAACACTATTTATGATCGTAACAACGTTCCATTATTATTGTACCACAGCATAATTTACTACAATTAACGAGGTATCGTTATGGTAGGCAACCTTCAAATTCCGACACTGCGTGTCAGTGTTGTATCTTGTGTTGTATGTATGCAAGTGTAAATGCTACCTATACATATAGCGGATTTGACAACAATTCCTATGCCATGTTTGGGATTATACGTGAAAGGTCTGTGTAACTATCTTCCAATCATTATGGAATTAACTGCGTCAACGCGGTTACACACAGTCACTTGCAGACAATAACCACGTTTCCCACAAATTGACCTCTTTTTAGTGTTGAGACCAGGTTTGAACTATAATCTGTGTATTTGCCGTCTATGTACACATCACACACGTAATGTTATCCACCATTCAGTATCTCTAATATGAAATAATATACATGTTATTATAATACACTAATATTTGGTAGACAGTATCCCCACGAATATAACTATGAATGCATTTAGTCCCACCCAGTGTGTCTACTATTAGATTACACGGCTCCGATATAGAATATCGTTGATAGTATAACAGATATTTTACAAAAAAACTACTAGTAAATCAAATGTCAGGGGTATAGTAGAAAGGTGAAATATTTGCAATGACCTGTTTTGGACAATAGACTAACATTTAATAAATCTAGAAAATAACCACTTGTGTGTATACTTGGTAAATGTACACACTGTTTTGAAGAAATCAATAATATCATATTTGAACTCACATTTTAAACATAACATTTTAGTTTATGATTTGAATAGGCAGTGTAGTTATTGTCGCCATTAGTAAATTACAGACAATACCCTCTCACGTGATATTGAAACCTTAATGATTGTTATCGCGAAAAAAGTAAATCTCACATTAACAAGAACACTTTCTTACCGTAAAACAATAAGAAGAATAAAATTTCAACAGCAATGAACATCCTAATTAACAAATATCGCATAGTTAGAACATGTTAATTTCAGGTGGCTATAACACTGACACGGAACAAGCACGGAAACCGACACGGAACAAGCACGGAAACTGACACGGCAAATAGCAAACAAGAGTTAAGTATTTCTTTTTGGAGATTGCGTATGCAAACATTGCAGGGTCATGTTACCAATAAACGTAAGCTTTGATATATTTAAAATTGCCAGCTCTTTATTGGTGGGTTACACAGGGACATGAGTCAAAGGTTACCAGTAAGCTGCCATATAATATTGGTTGAAATGTAAAGTAAACAAAATACATTGCCTAAGTACCTCGACATGGGGACAGTTTGTTATAAATCATTATTTATAGTGATTCTCTACATACTAAACATTCGTGATTACGGCAATGGTTACCGTGTTACCGCTACTTGGATTGTGCAAAAACATCGTAAAACGAGGTATAGGTAGGTGTTGTTTGTATGTGCACTGACTTCGTCAAGCGGTTGTCGATTTCGAAATTGTGTCATCAGTTTTGTTTTGCACAGGTCTGAAAATATAGGGTGTGGCATATCATAGCTACAATTAATAATATTATGAATACTGGTACAATCACGTGTGTTGTGTTTTTATAGTTATGATCGAGAGAATTAAACGATAATGTCAAACCTTCAAAGTTAGTTATGCACTGTATAAATAATAGACTCATAAATTACATCCTTAAACACACATTTATAATGTGACAACAAACACATGCAAGGGTCGTTCACCATTTTTATTCAATTAATATCACGCTGTATTGCTGTAATAAGAATAGTGGTAGAATTACAGTTCATGAGAGCATTGCAAAAATTGTTTAGAAAAGTTTGGCATTACCATCAACTTTACTGGAAACAATCTAACAAACTAGTTACACATTATTTATACCGTGTTGCCATGGCAATGCGACTGATACCGCCCTTTAATACTGCAACTTACTCATGTTTCCGGGCAGATTAGTAAATCGCAACTTTTTTATTCAATTATGTTGATTAATAATACTTTCGGAAATCGTAAAAACAATACGGACAATAGCTGTATTTAAAGCGCAAGTCCATGTTATTTTCAGCATTCCAATGAATATATAACACATTTTTAACAGTGAAAATGAATTTTAAAATATTAATCTAGTGAGTTCACACAACCATAGTGTATGTTGCTTTGATAATTGCACGACAATACCCTCATGAACTATATTAAATGTCATATTCTGTGATAAGTTGATTCGGTTTCCACTGAATACTTAATTGTATTGTATCTTCCTGTGTACTAATATCAGACTGTTAGGAAACTACTTTTTAATTACTTTATATTTTTGTACGACCAGAATACATTCACTGATGCAGTCGTTGCTATCACAACTGGTGATTTTCAGAAAGGTGATAATTTACATACCACAATCTGGTTAAACCAATCATTATTGTGTGTTCAAACAACAATAGAATCAGTGCATCAATGAACAGACTAATGTGCGGTACTCCACAAAGTATGGTACACTTGTTGAATGATGTCATTAATTATCCAAATTGTATGCAAAATCATAACATCAAAACAATAATATTTCTGGGTAATTTAAACTGATTTTTTCATGTGTCCCATACGAGATAGGACATTAAACATTTATCCATATTGTTTCGGAAAAGTGTAAAAAGTAAATTGTGATCAAAAATGTATGTCAGTGGTGTAGTATAAATCTATTATCATGATAATGTTTATTGCTAAGTGGCATGCAATACAAAAGTGTAAAAACCAATAAAAAACACGTCGATTAAATATCTACAAATTTCTACAAATTCTATCTACATATTTAGTAGATTATTCTAAATGGTGATGAACAACGTAGCTATAACAAACGCTGCAAACATTGCCACATAACTAGCAATGCTTTGATGCATTTTATTGGCAGGTGAATCAGGATGGTCATCAAGATCGGGATGTGTCACGTGTACCGTCATTTTGATCAACCAATCATAGGCTTCAACGTTTTCCGCTTGTACTAGTGGACCAATCTCAGTACGGATTCTGGCGTTGTACCTATTCAGCCAGTCAATCTAATTCAAACGATACACAGTAAATGTATTTGTTAGGTACTACATAAATATACATTATTATATATACATCACGTCATATATCCATTACGTCATATATTCATTACGTCATATAACCATTACGTCATATATACATTACGTCAAATATATATTACGTCATACCTGTCGTGGAGACATCAAACTGTATTTAATTAGTTTTGGGTCGAAAGGAACAAGTGTCACCGCTCTAAAGGTATAATAATCCTGGCCACCAAAATTGTTCTGAAACAAAATGGATGTTACTGTAACAAATTAACAAGCTTGTCGATAAAATATTAGATAATTATTTAAGTCATTAGTGTTTTGATGCTTACTGGTGTATCGGCTTTCACTACCCTAATGATTGTTTCAAGTCTAACTCCATAGTCATTGTCTTCGTAATAACCTGGTTCTATTAGATCAAACAAACAAATAATATGAGTGACTCATTCATAAACTAGTGCAAAATTTTGATATCTTCCTATACATTCAGATGTATTAAGTTCGTGACGAAATTGGAATATCCCATAATATATAATATCTAGTGGGTTGTCATATAATACGAGTTTATACGAGTTCATGAGTCACGAATTTCAATATCCTATGTATCACATGTATGCTTTTCAAGCTGTTTCGCTAGCAGAAGTTAGCACATTTCAATACATAATCATATTAATGCATGTATGGATGTAAAAATTACAAACCATCTGATAAGAAAACATTTGGCTGGAGTGATTCAGTGTTGCGACTGTTTATAGAAAACGGACCTAGATAAAATTAATAATAATATACTTGTTAAGTTATTGAAAGACTACTGAATGTATGAGTACGGATAGATGTACATATATTAGAGTCTTGTGAGATATGACATGAGATATGTAAACAAATACATTCATAATACCTTCATGAACATTCAACATAGCTCCAATACCGTGACCAGTGCCGTGAAGATACGTCCAACCATTATCCCACAAATGTTGTCGGGCATGTACGTCAAGTCTGCTTCCTGTAATCAAACCACAAACACCCAAACACAATTATTTTGTCAATGTAATGTTCTATACATGTATCCTGGTTTACTATTTAATGATTTTTTTTGTTGAATTAGCATGGTTTATGGTAACGTACTAAAAGGTATGATAACCAACCAGACGTTGTGATAATTTACCACCCGTTATGATAACCCACTAGACATAATGATACCCCACCAGTCATTTATGCTAACCTACCAGACGTTATGATAACACTATACATGTTATTATAACTTACCAGACATTATGATAACCTACCAGAACGTATGACAACCTACTAAGCGTCATGATAACCTACCATAACGTATGACAACCTACCAGCCGTTATGACAACCCACCAGCCATTACGATAACCAACTAAACGTTATTATAACTTACCAGACGTTATGACAACCTACCAGAACGTATGACAACCTACTAGGCGTCATTATAATCTACCAGAACGTATGATAACCTACCATACGTTATGACAACACATCAGTCGTTAAGATAACCTACCAGACGATGCGATGCGATAACCAACCAAACTCTATGATAACTCACCAGACATTATGATAACCTACCAGACGTTATGATAACCCACGAGACGTTATGATAACCTACCAGACGTTATGATAACCCACCAGACGTTAGGATAACCTACCACACGATATGATAACCAACTAGACGTTGTGATAACCCACTAGACGTTATGATAACCTACCAGACGTTATGATAACCTACCAGACGATATGATAACCTACCAGACGTTATAACCTACCAGACGTTGTGATAACCCACTAGACGTTATGATAACCTGCCAGACGTTATGATAACCTACCAGACGTTATGATAACCCACTAGACGTTATGATAACCTACCAGACGTTATGATAACATACCACACGTTACGATAACCCTATAGATGTTATGATAACTCACCAGACGTTATGATAACCCACCACACGTTATGATAACCACTAGATGTTATGATAACCTACCACATGTTATGATAACCCACTAGACGTTATGATAACCACTAGACGTTATGATAACCTACCAGATGTTATGATAACCCGCTAGATGTTATGACAACGTGCCAGACGAAATGATAACCTACCAGACGATGAGACAATCTACTAGACGACATGATAACCTGCCAGACATTATGATAACCTACCAGGCGTTATGATAACCTACCAGACGATATGATAATCTACGAAACGATTAGACAACCTACCAGACGTTCCTTCTGGAAATATTGCAAGGGCAAGATCAATGGCACCCATTAGTACACGTGTATAAGCTTCCTGAAAGTAAAGAGTTTGAATCACATTAATGTTGCCACACTAACGTAACTTACATGCACAACATATATGCCGACCTACCAAACGCATCTACTCATCAATTACTAATATATATAGAAGATCTCAGTACGTAATTGTAGTCCTAAGTAATTATTCAATATAGCCAAACGTTTCGGGCAATGACTCTTCTTCAGTTTAATTTTTGAATGCGTTACCGTGCATTAACTGAATATTTTAGGACAAGGTTTGGTAAAAGTCCTCGGCGTATGGCTCTATCATATATTACAAATTTGTTGCTCGCGAACATATAGCAGGGAAGTAGTTTTCTGTTGTCCTCAACAATATCTATTTACTGGGGGAGGGTTGTTTTTCAGAATTAGGTTAGTAGACTCAAGTGAAAACAACGTTTGCTCATTTAAAAATCGTATATTTTTAAGCAGTTACATTCTGGATTCATGTGTTTTCATGAACCGTTCCTAGAAATACATTCGATTACAAACAAATTATCCAGGTCGTTGTTCAAGTTTTTGTTTGCCTCCTTTGAATCAACCCAAATTACATTACTATGATAGGTGACGGCACCTTTTCATAAATTTGGCAGTAAATAAATTAACGCAATCTACTCACCTTGTGCGAATCCTTAGGTACTCCGAAGTGCATTGTACGAGTAATATCGGTCGTTGCACCACACCTTCAAATAATAAAATAAATTAAAAATCATTTAACCAAACGATGAAGAAAAATACTTCAAAATAAGAAACCATGTGTTTTAATGATGTTAAATAATTCTTTATACACATACTTATGTATTGAATACTTACTTGTATTGTCCACCAGAATCCAGTAGATACATATCATCAGTTGTAATTTTTACGTTTGTTTCATCTGTAGACCTGCGCATAACGTAGTAAATAATTTGAAAAAATGATTAACACATGAAAAAACGAGAGACAGACAGCGTAGCAACACAAGAGGGCGTAAACAGAATAAGGAGTGCACTTACGAGTAGTGTATAACTGCTCCATTTGGCCCGAATCCAGAAATTGGATCAAAACTTGGTGACACAAAGTCCTCTTGTTTCCTACAAAAAGTAAATATGGTTATATAGGCACCATTCTGATGTCACGAGATTGAAATTCACGGACCAAATCATTGACCCAATACGTCATCGGGTGACGTCATTGTATGCCATACCTCCTAAATTCCTCAACCTTATTTCCTGCAGAGATTTCAGTCACTTCAATTTCTTCATTCGTCACTGCGCCCTCTATCCAATGTAGAAACTCTATCACGGCAACAGAATCCTGATTCTGAATACGCAATAAAAGCGAATAAAATGCATTAACGACGTGTTTATGTTCAATAAACGATTACATTAATATTACATTTTTTTCTCTGTATCGCCATTGTGCTTTTGATCAAAATCACAATTCCAATAATACAAATACAAATAGTTTACTTACATATCCGTTTATCATTCCATCAACTTCCTTGTCATTCTTTACAGCTTTCATTTCTTGTATGGGAATCGCTGCAGAGTACTGCTTATTCTGAAATAAACAATTTGAATAAAACTAAATTTGATAAGTTACGAATCATGGGCAAACAATTGGTCGTGTCAAAATTAAAAATGAGCGAGTCACAGCCATTATTCTGGTTTCTGTCGCAACTTCAAGTATTCAAAATCAGACTAAAAGCGAAATGTTTATGAAGTACATAATTTGCTTTTTAAATTAGCGAAATTTCTGTTCTTGTATGCAACATAACTGGGAAGAAAAGACGTCTTTAGAATGGTATAAAATAAAACAAATACAAATGCTTACGTTGGTGGCAAAGAGCTAGAAAACATTGAGTATATGGACAAGAAATGAACATTTAAAAACGTATGCGCAGTATTTATACATACAATGAAAATGACGTATGAATCGTAAGGGAGGAAGGAAGTGTCTTAACCAACAATTCCAGAAATAACGCAAGAAAACTAGGAGGTCAATACATAACAAATGTGACTAACCTCGGGAACATTTCCATAAACAGCATAGCTAGCAGAAGTGCTGATCCACACTTTATTGATGATATCTGATTTCGTTGCATCTCTCAGTTCATTTTGAAAATCATCGTATTCATTGATATGCAAACATTTGTGTATTTGAGGAGTATTTTGACAAAACTTCATGTCTGTGAGAAGATGCTTTCCAATTTCATCTGTTACAAGCTCAGTTGTATTTTTAATATACAACCTACAAAAGTAAATTCCTTCATCAGAAATCACACGATAACAATAAATATTCCGAATAATCAAATACAACATCTGAATTGACAAATGTTATACTTACGTTGTTTTATCCAACTCAATGATTGTATAGGAAAAGAAAACGGCTGTATTGTGAACATCAGACCCTCGTAAGTTGAACAACCCTGAACGGAGAAAAAAATGGTGATCCATTATCTACTAATACGTGCAATTTGATATGATACAGCCGGTACAATTACAAATTGCTAACGCAGGTTACCTCGAGATATGTTGACTTGTCTATGACTTACATGCAGTGTCATCCAAGGCATGTAACACCATCATTTCTACGTCTGCTGCTTTCATTAGTCCCTGGATGTCTTCCACTTTATCCCACCAGTCAACGCCTGAATTATAACAATATATGTTACAGCATTAGGTAAACGTCAATGTTGTCACAATCTCATCATCTGATAAATAACACAATAACATGTTCTTATAGCGAAAATCAGTTGGAACAACTTGAACTCATTCACTGTTCCTAACACACGTGGACTGTTTATAACATGAAAAGAGTACCTTTCTAATAAATGCTATATTTTTAATTTAGACATAACACATATTGAAACACAATGTAGCCGATGATTTTTGTAAACAAGATAGATGTTGATTCCTCCATTTGTAAGAAGTCACACTAGTCGTCGCTAATTGTTGATGAACAAGTGCTTACCTTTTTGACGACATATTCTTATTGATACATAAGAATGTGCCATTGATGAGCTCCGGATTATTGTTTTAGTACATCACAATCGATTTCCGCTGTGTATTAGTGACTATGCTTACCTGCCCATTTCTTTTCCATAATAAGTAGTGGATTATTACTACACTCTGGTTCTTCCCAAACCTCGTCTATCAGGTTATTTTGAATTGATTGCATTATGATCGATTTATCCTTGCTCTCCTTGAACGCATCTGCATAATTATTATATGTACCTCAAAGTGAAAATAATAGAATACCGATAATATGACGTCACGTTTCAAGATTATGCACGGTTACATATATTACATGGTCTGGTATCATACGCTATACAATTTCTGCACACTACACATTGCATACATTGCGTACTATGTATACGGATAACAACGCAACATATGTTTGATATCATTACATTTTGTTTTAAATATGATTGCAGCAATGGATCTTGGACAATCGCTCCCCAGACAATCGCCCCGGACAAACGCCCCCGGAAAAATCCCCCCCCCCACATAATTATTATTTTTTATTTTTTTTCGGTGATTTTGACTATTACCGGTCGTTGGCAAACACTTGTTTACGTGAATTTATAATAAGTTGATGAATTGATAAGTTGATAACGAGGTGCCGTCGGCAAACACTTGTTTTCGTGAATTTATAATAAGTTGATGAATTAATAAGTTGATAACGAGGTGTCGTCGGCAAACATGAATGGGGGGGGGGATTGTCCTGGTACCGCAGCAATATATTAACACTGCGATAAGACTCCATTTTCGACATTGTAAATGTCTTTCGTTTCTATGCAGAAAAATACAGTATTTTTACCAAGTCATAATATTTATTAAAGTTATTGTTTATACATAAATTGTTGAACACACTACATAGTTTGTAATTTCATTCAGCTTCTTTCAGTCATGATTTAAGACAAATAAAAACAAAAATATAGAGAATATAGCAGATTAAATTTTTTCTTCAATGTTCTTCTGTAATCAGTAACTATGAAAATTATTTATGGGCGAACAGAGAATATATTTTGTTATGAATTATTCTTAATATAAATTTTTGAATTATCTTTTTCTCTCCCAAAACGAAAGAATTTTACAATGTCAAAAACGGTAAGTCCTTATATAGACCTAAATCATGTACATGTACATGCATCAATACTTAGGGAATGGCCATTTATTATACCCAGGGGGTCGGGAAAGCATTTTGATATATAAACACTACTACAAGCAATCCACTATGCACTAATTTTTCGGCTGATTTCATTTTTGTCAAGTAAAATACACAAATTGACATATAATATTTTGAAATTTATATTAACAGTTCTCACTTGCCTGAAGAAAGTCCATGTTATAAATTAGAACAGTCTCTTCACTGAACAAGGTTATGTACCCAAGGCCAACAAATCTATCAACAAATGGATTTTATTGGTCTTTTGCTACATGGCCACCATCTCTTTTCCAGGGTGAGCCATTTTATTAAATTTGTTGCGTAATCTGACTGGTTCGACAATACTGGACTAAGTGTTGGTTATTAGTTGATAATTGGTAAAAAAGGCATAACGTAAGAAAAATTGTGTCTCAATCTTTAAGAGAAAAATATTTGCCCCAGCCTTGATAAAAAGTCACTGCCCCCCCCCCCCTTGTGGCTTTGGACAATATGCTGCCCATCTGTTTTGCCCAACCCCCGCTCAGGAAAAATAAATGGTCATTGCCTTATATGCATGTAGGATATTTCCTCTGTCACAATGATGCTAATTTTAACCTAACCTTCAACTTACTTATAGATAAAAGCGTCGGATCAAATGCTACAATAATGGGTTCATTGCTTGTTCCGTATGGAAGCACATCTTCTAACCAGTCCCAAGCGCTGGGCGTACCATCGTCGCCTGTAAAAATACCATATTTTAGAAAACTGAACTACACAGAAATGATGCACAGTAATGAAACATGTACAATTTTACTGTTTACATATGGAATACGAAACTGTATAATGGTTATGCACATGCGTTAGGACATCGAATAATAAACCTGCGCAGCGTTGTATATGACTGGTATAAGTGTACGCAACTAAAACAACGTTGTTATTTCAATGTGTAACACAACACCTTTTCATCTATTAAATATAACCGTGGTTTACACTGACTGAAATCAATGAAAACATTAACAATACAACTAACACAATGTTTACACTGTAAAGTATTGAATAGTTAGTTAGTGTTATATTTGTAGGTTTCATATTCGACTTACTCGACCTCATAAGTATCCAATTACAATCAAGTTGTTGTTCAGCTTGTAGATAGTATCTACCATCGGTCCACAATGCAGATTGGTTATGTGTAACAATAGCAAGGCCTGTAAAATGAGAAATATGTTAAATAACTAAATACATTTCCTCAGCATATTTCAAAACAACGAATTGATAGGGTAACGGGTTTAACTATTTTGTTTACCTGAAGATCCAGAAAAGCCAGTTATCCACTGTCGTCTCCTGTAGCATTCCTGTAGTATTACGAGGATAACAAAATGCATGTACCATGAGTCAAACACGTGTCACTGTTAAAGGGCGATGGCCGTGTTGTATACGTCGCTCTGAGTTCCGAATCGAACACGACGCGGTGCGATGACCACCGCCCTTTAAATAATCTATGGCCATATACTGATATCTTCTAAATTTGTCGAAATTTCAAGATTATATATTATAACTATGACTTTTTTGAATTCATTGCATAATAGATAGATATACTTACATTATGCCAGTCTTCTGTTGGAATAATATATGCTGACACATTGTATTCTGCCATTACATCCCTCAAATCTGATAACCTTTCTGTTGTTTCTGTCACAGTTGGCGGATATTTCTGAAAATTGACGCACAATGAAATGCATGTGAATGTTTAATATGCCCCTATAGTGGCATAAGTGAATACATCGCACACTGGCAACCGAATTCACATTTGTATTTGTGTGTGTCCAGTGTCTTATGAAATAATAAGTTACTATATTTATTCTTTTATAAACACATGCAATACACCATTCCCTATGAGCAGCGCCTTCTAACGACGAAACACTTCAGTGAAGTAGCGTTATGTATACGGTGAAACAAACGCCATTCATAAATACGAGTTTGTTTGGTTAGCTTCAGAATGCTTCAATCTATATAAAAATGCTTCACAGTTAGGGAAGCTGCGAACGGTTACACTCGTCCATCTTTGTTATAGCAGCGCTTCCTCGATATGGAGCGCCACATATAAAAAATATATATATATATACATGTGTTGACGCCCTACGCTTTTCACGACACATGTTCACATACAAACTAACCGGGTTATCTTTATCAGTGCAATCTCTCTGTGTATCGGGAATATCGTCTTGAACTCTTGTCTCTTGAACGGACCTTTTAAAGATTTTGCCTTTAGAATGAAAGTGTTCTCCCAGAACGGCGTCCGGTACTGCTTTTGCACTTGTAAATACTATGTGAGATATACAAATCAGAAGTTAGGTCTTACGCTATACTTCAACAATAAAACTAAACATTTAAAGCATTGTCGAATGGAAAATTACGACATAGAAACCTACTCACAAATAAAAATAACCGGAATATAGCTATTTTGCAATAAATTGTAAATCAATATAAAGAGATTGACTTGAAACAAATTTGGGGTTACCAGCCTAATTTTTCGAGAAAACAATGGATTCATAAATGATAATGATTAGAGTGGATAGTGGCCATGTTATCAGTATTATAATGATTAGAGTGGATAGTGGCCATGTTATCAGTATTATAATGATTAGAGTGGATAGTGGCCATGTTATCAGTATTATAATGATTAGAGTGGACAGTGGCCATGTTATCAGTATTATAATGATTAGAGTGGATAGTGGCCATGTTATCAGTATTATAATGATTAGAGTGGATAGTGGCCATGTTATCAGTATTATAATGATTAGAGTGGATAGTGGCCATGTTATCAGTATTATAATGATTAGAGTGGATAGTGGCAATGTTATCAGTATTATAATGATTAGAGTGGATAGTGGCTATGTTATACGTATTATAATGATTAGAGTGGATAGTGGCCATGTTATCAGTATTATAATGATTAGAGTGGACAGTGGCTATGTTATCAGCATTATAATGATTAGAGTGGATAGTGGCCATGTTATCAGTATTATAATGATTATAGTGGATAGTGGACATGTTATCAGTATTATAATGATTAGAGTGGATAGTGCCATGTTATCAGTATTATAATGATTAGAGTGGATAGTGGCCATGTTATCAGTATTATAATGATTAGAGTGGACAGTGGCCATGTTATCAGTATTATCAATGTGTCAAAACATTGTTTCTTTAAAACTGTGTTCTATTTAATTGATCTAAAATAGCAATTCTGTAAGACACAATAGAATGCTATTCCATGGTGCCATTGGACAATATCTCCATGATTGTACATACTAATACAGTGCACACTGTCATGCGATTTATGACAAACTTTCTCAAAAATCATAAGTAGGTTTCTACCTAGACTGGCAAAGTCGGGACTTCTTTTTTGTTTTACAAAAAGAAATAATTAATTGTTGTTTTAGTCCTTTTAGCGTGATCGCGAAAACTATCTGAACCTGACCGCTAAAAAATCCCGACTGGACGCATCTCCGGGCATTTGACTGATATTAATTATTCATGATGTCATTGATTATTTGTGAGTGGGTGTGTGAAAGTAAACGTGACCTTTTAAAGGTTGATTCGATTTGATCGCAGAGATGGATACTTTATCTTTCTATGTGCAAAGGCGATACTTTCATCCATCCATGTTAACAGAAAACAAGTCGATTTCAATCTCCAATCTGTATAAGTAGTCTTTCAAAATCGCAGGGACCTCAGAAGTGAAAGGTCACGTACATTAACATAGACGTATACAGCTGCACTTTGATTCGTTGTTAATGCCAGTCAACATCTTTTAATTAGCATAATAACCTGAGTGACTCCGGTTTTCACTCCAACGCAGGGGGTTGCCTGCAGATGCGTCCAGTCGGGATTTCTTCCGCAGTCACGCTAGTTTTCGCGATCACGTCAACAAGGCTAAATTGACAATTAATTATATTTTTTTGTAAAACGAAATAGAAATCCCGACTTTGCCAGTCTAGTTTCTACCTTCACACATTAATTAATTATACACATATGAATCAATCAATATATACATAGACTTTGTGTGATATATTGTGTGAAGTTATTGCGAGGATATATCAAAGTACGCGCAAAGAGAGTACAGCGGCAGTGCGGGTCGGTCGATGCGCGGCGTACTGTCTGAGTGCATACTTTGAGGTATCCTCGTAATAACCTTATTAATATACATCTTTTTCTCCCAATGATACATCATGGAAATTCCGAAATCAAATTCGAAAATAATCAGCGAACATCTTTGTGTGGAGCCCGGTCAACCCCCCTCCTGGGGGATACAAAGGACTTGTCTAATGGGGACGTGTCCCTGAAATGAGTCTCGTTTTTTGGATTTTAGATATAAGTATCGGTCTTATTTCTGGTCAAAATAGGTATAAATATGGGTAATATTTTTCCGATTTGGTATACTTATGGCTAAGGGCGAATATCTCCACCTCAGATCCCGACCTCAGATCCATATATACATCAACCCGGAAATTAAACAAAGCAATCAACATTTAAACGAAGATTTAACACGGAATAGAAGAGGGCGCACATTCCTTAGTGAATTGGCTTAATGTGCTTCTATTGGAGATGATCTTTTAATAGAGCAAATACGGTAACTGTTTTATTTGGAATAAACAGTGATGAAAGAAATGGTACTTTGGTATAAATATGGGTATAGAGTTTGCCACTATCCAGGTATATAAGTGGTCACACTTTTGAGCACTCAGGGGCACCTCCCTACGTAATCATTCCTTATTTGGAATTCGCATTTTCTAATATGGTAGGATGAAAATACCCCGTAAAATACATCAAAATTACGACACGCTGTAACTTATGGCGTTTCGGTGTCACATGTATAGTAATTCAAAGTATTCGATGACTGCTGTGCTAATTTGATATAATGCATACTATATTGATTGTAGTAAAACACTGATTCATGGCATACATTATTGTACATACTGAGGTGACAACACAGGATTGTGTGGGTCTACTTCAAACACAGTGTCCAGGTATGGTTCGTTTAAAGAGTCTCCAACTGCAATAAATGTTGGTATTTATTTATTTATTTATTACTCAGCAAAGTTATTCATCTACATACCTTGAAGCCGTTTGTGTTGATTAGCTACACACTAAAACGTATTCAAACTTATAAAACCTATTATATACAAAACATGATTGATTTCGATGCTACTCGAAAAAATGCGACCAATTCTGATGCTCCTCAGGTTAACGCAGTTAATTCGAACCTGTACGATAAATTTCGACGCTTCTCGATCCAACACGATTAAGCCGATGCTCCACGGCACGGAGCAACGCGATAATTTCCGATGCTCTTCGGACCAACATGACCAAATAACCATTCAACGCTCACAATGTCCCTGTCTGAAACAACGTGCAGTGTATGGTATAGTTAAAATTATAATTAAGTATGGCCTGTGTCCAATCACACTTTGAAATTGTGCCTGATTGGCTACCCAACACTATCACCTAACAATCAGACCAATCAGAAAGCAACTTGTATCAACTTTTGCCTTGTATATATACTTCAACTCAACTTGAGTGTTAACTATTTTCACAAATTAAAGAGGGAATTATTCACTTTGTGAAGCACGAAGGAGTCGTTTTCATTGCATCGTGACATGGTTAATATTATGTTTTTATAAAAAAATAGGTCACAATTACAAATATGATTGTTTTCCTATTCTCCAAATTAATAAGCCTAAAAGTCAGTTTGATAAAAGATTGTACAGGAAATCGTGCATCATTAATTGAACTTTGGATACCAGTGATAGTGAACAAATTGCCCAAACACTGACACTAACACTTACGCTAAGTGTGTGCACGTAGATCACTATAAATACCTAACATTTACAAGGGATATAAGGTTAACCTGATTTAAACAACCTAATTTAAAAGAGGTCGACTGTAAATATACGTGCAACATGCCACTACACTGCATATATATTTCATGAACAGTGTCCAAAAACACTATATGAAATGATTGCTTTATTTTTACGAAGACAAAATCAGCCACACGAAAGAAACGCGATTTTAGCAATTATAATAATACGGGTGATGTTTGTAAAAAGTGTCACATATACCATAGATTTGTGATTATCCTGGTACAGGTGTAACTCTGACACAGATTATATTCTCACAATGTGCACCAGTAACGATACTAATGAGCTATAGGTAAACTAACTGACGCGTATGTAATGGTTTCAATTACGCTAGAATCATGTAGTATTTACTGACACTGAGACAAGTTGTATTTCACGCTATTAGACAATATAATCACAATATAATGACATCACATGACTTATAGTTTGGGCGGGTATGCCAGGTACCTAACTGACATGAAAATCATATTTCGATATATGCCAGTGATCATCTCACTACTTTATACTTCAAGTCAAAGATTCATATATGTGACCATTGCCTCATTGACAAGGTGTCATAGAATCAAGGACTGTACTATTGAACGAAGAAGTCAGCTTAGACCTGTCTAGTTGTTTTTAAGGAATCTAATTCAGTATGGAGTTTATTGTATTGTTTTTGTTAAAGTTAAAAATTGTTAAGATTGTTAATTGTCACAGAGAACCTAATATGAGCAAAAGTGTTGCCGAGAAGTTTTTATTCAGTGGCGGCATTACAGGTTGTCCCCTCGAAAAAAAAAATGTTGGGGGCGTCGCCCCTACAAAATCAAGCTGAAACCATTTGTGACATCAAAAATTGACTCTCAAAATGCAGGAAATAGCGTTTCAGAGGGTCTAGATTTCAAAATTGTTAAGGGAGAGCCTGCCCGGACCCCCTAGTAAGGTCGCGCCTTTGGCCCGAGGTTGTTGAGCAGATCTCGCCCGCATGCAAAATGTTGTGCTGCCGCCTCAGTTATTTGACTTTTGATCTCAAGAAAGTTTTTACTCACCACAATATAAGACAAGCACATATGTTGACAATCTCGTAGCCATGGCGATGAAAATAGTGTTGTCCCACTTCTCAAATAAGTATTTCTCTGAGGTTAGTTTAAGCGTTTTATTTCTCCGTTGGTGACCCTGGTAGTAGGTACGCAGTCTTCGTTTTGTCCACCGTGATTGGCGCAGCCAGACTGCGCATGTGTCATACAGTTGAAACAATAATTTATGGCGGTACATAAGATTGCTGGATTGTTTTATGGTGCCCATAATGACATCATTATTTGTTGTAATATAATGACGGTTTATAGAGCGAATGTCAGTTATTGAATATTCATTGACTCAACATCATAGAAAACACACACATATTTTGCCCTAAATTATTGCCTGGTTC